TATTTACTTCTGTTGTTCTGTACTTGCTAGTTGTAGTGCTAATTTTTAAAACTATTTGTTGGAATTTAAGATGTTTTCGAGTTCTGCTGTTCTGTACTTGCTGAATTTAAGTGTTTAATTCTTAAAACTAATTGTTGTATTTTAAGATATTTACGAGTTGTGTAGCTAAGTACTAACTATATTTAAGTCATTGTGTGTTTTTTTGGGCTAAACAGTTGCTAGTTACATCGTTAAGTATTTGCTGAAGTATATTACAAGTATATGTTACTTTATGGCTATTTGCTAGTTTCAATGTCAAGTATTTGTAATTTGTATTGCTATGTATCTGCAAGATGGATTATGAAGTATTTGCCAGCTGCACTGTCATTTGCTAGTCGTATTGCTGTTTCCTAGTTGTATTGCTTCTATTTACTAGTTGTACCCCTAACTATATTCATATTGTATTGTTAACTATTTACTAACTACAGACACAAACACACCCACGCCCAAACACATACACACGCACAAACACATAAACACACACACACACACCACACATACACACACACACACACACACACACACACACACACACACACACACACACACACTTTTTATTCTCTTTCTTTTCACGTTTATAGGTTCTCTCTCTCTCTCTCCTCCTCTCTCTCTCTCTCTCTCTCTCTCTCTCTCTCTCTCTCTCTCTCTCTCTCTCTCTCTCTCTCTCTCTCTCTCTGATGGATGGATGGATAGGGACGGAAGAGAAGAAGAGAAGGAAGGGAGAAGTGGGAATGGGACAGAAGGGGAGAAGAAAGGGGAAGAGAGAGAGAGAGAGAGAGAAGAGAGAGAGAGAGAGAGAGAGAGAGAGAGAGAGAGAGAGAAGAGAGAGAAAGAGAGAGAGAGAGAGAGAAGAGAAGGAGATAGGAAAAACGAGCTAATGAAATAAAAAAAAATATAACACAACTAAGAGGAAAGAGGGACAGAAAAAATAATAGATAAGAGGAGAGAAAATTGGGCTCGGTTCCAGGAAGCGGAGAAAGGAGGCCATATTTAAGGAAGCGAGTCTGAGGAGGGGAGAGGAGAGCGCCATGACCTCCTGAGTCAGAGAGCAAAAACTGGGTCAAAATAGGGAGACATCGAGGGGGGGGGAAGGGGGGTGGGGGAGAGGGGGAGGGGGGGGGGGGAAGGAAAGGGCGATTTTCATTCCGATGAGAAAACCGAAAAGAAAATAAGAAAATACCAGGAGTGTCATAAGATATTACGTACGGGATATTCTCTCTCTCTCTCTCTTTCTGTCTTCTCTCCTCTCTCTCTCTCTCTCTCTCTCTCTCTCTCTCTCTCTCTCTCTCTCTCTCTCTCTCTCTCTCTCTCTCTCTCTCTCTCTCTCTCTCTCTCTCTCTCTCTCTCTCTCTCTCTCTCTCTCTCTCCCTCTTCTCTCTCATACGCCACTAAACACCTCCACAATCACCTCAAAACATTAATCCAACCCTCACCACACAGTACACCTCATTACACCAGTCATCACCAGCTTCTCACCATCACCAGTCATTAATCATCACCACACCAGTCAACCCCAGCATCACCACACCAGTCATCACCACCATCACCATACCCCAGTCATCACCACATCACCATCATTATCACACCAGTCACCCCCAGCATCACCACACCAGTCATCACCATACCAATTACCACACCAGTCATCACCAATCATCACCACACCAGTCATCATCACTCACCTGGGACAATAGCGACAGTCTTCAGTGCTCTCAGTACTCTGAAGGTTCTCAAGGCTGCCAAGTTACCCAGGTCAATGCCCATTGTCACATATCTGGAAGGGGAGAAACAAGACGTTTGGAGACGTTACTTAAGAAAAAAAGAAAGAAGGTCGTGTACTTTTTTTTTTAATTTGAAGGTAATTTAGTTTTTTCAAAATGAAGGTCATTTACTTAAAAGAGAAGGCCATTTATTAAAAGATGAAATAAAATAAAATAAAATGATTAAAGAAAAAAAAGGGAGGCCATTTTCTTTTCTTTAAAGCATTTGAAGATAATCTGATAATAAAAATAAAAATATATACGAAGAAAAACACACTTTTTCAATCTTCAATTTCTTTTTTTTCAATGAAGGAAGAACAGCAAAAAGCAACAAGATCCACTCCCTAACCCACAACGATACTCACGCTAAGGCTATAACTATGAAGTCCAGCCAATTCCAGGCGTCGCGTAGATATGTGAATCCTTCAAGAATGAACCCTCTGGCCATTACCTTCACGCCGGACTCGAAGGTGTAAATCGCTGTGAAGAGAACTCTGCAGGGAGAAAGGGAGAGAGAAAGAGAAAAAAGAGGTCAAAGATTGTTAGGAAAACTCGTATTAAAGGTCAAGAATTGTTAGGAAAACCGTATTAAGGGTCATCAAGGAATTTAGGAAAACCGTATTAAAGGAAAGGATTGTTAGGAAAACCGTATTAAAGGTCAAGGATTGTTAGGAAAACCGTATTAAAGGTCAAGGATTGGATTAAGGAAGGATTGTTAGGAAAACCGTATTAAAGGCCAAAGGATTGTTAGGAAACCGTATAAAGGGGATTGGGAAAAAAAGGAAGATTGTTAGGAAAACCGTATTAAAGAAGGAAGGAACCGTACAGGTCAAGGATTGTTAGGAAAACTCGTATTAAAGGTCAAGGATTAAGGATTAAGGGTCAGGAAGGAAATTATTGTTAGGAAAACCGTATTAAAGGTCAAGGATTGTTAGGAAAACTCGTATTAAGGGTCAAGGATTGTTAGGAAAACCGTATTAAAGGTCAAGGATTAAGGATTAAGGGTCAAGGAACTCGTATTAAAGGTCAAGGATTGTTAGGAAAACCGTATTAAAGGTCAAGGATTAAGGATTAAGGTCAAGGATTGTTAGGAAAAAAGTATTCATGGTGATAAATGTGGAAAAGGTAGGAAGGAGAGCGAATATCTTCACAATAAAAAGAGATGTATTTGATTTGTTTCGATTATGTCTTCGTCTGAGATACATCGCTTGTATTGTGAAGATATTCGTTCTCTTTCAGACCTTTCCACATTGTTAGTAAAACTATTGTTGTTGTTATTATTATCCTTATTATCATTATCATTATTTTGATTACTGCTATTACTACAATAATAATTATTGTTATTATTACTATTGTTTTTTATTGTCATTCCTTTCATCATGATCATCATATGATTACATTATAAATCTTATCATCATTACTAATGCTATTATTTATATCATTATTATCATTTCTATTACCATCATCATCATCCTCAGTATTATCATTATTATCATCATTATCATTATCAGTATCTTACTAATACAAATACTAATTATCATTATCATTATTATCATCATTATCATTATTATTATAATTTTCATTATTATTATCATTAAGATTATCAGTATCTTACTAAGACAAATATACATTATCATATTATCATCATTATCATTATCATTATTATCATCATTATTATTATTACTATTATCATTATCATTATAATTATCATTATCAGTATCTTACTAATACAAATACTAATTATCATTATCATTATCATCATTATTATTATCATCATTATTATTATTATTATTATTATCATCATTATCATTATCATTATATTATTATCATTACTATTATCATTATCATATAATTATCAGTATCAGTATCTTATTAATACATACTATTATCATTATCATTATCATTATTATTATCATCATTATCATTATTACTATCATTATTTATTATCATTATCATTATTATTACCATTATTATTGTCATCATTATCATTATCATTATTATCATCATCATCATTACATTACCCATTACTATTATTATTATCATCATGGTCATAATCAATATACAATACAGCTGTTACGAAACGTCTTTGAAAATTTCATAAGTTGTTTTTTTGTTCATGTGGCGATGAGTGATGGCTTTAGATCAATATTTACTCTACAGTATTTTGGCCAAGTTATTATATCACTGTTGGTGTTCATATAATTTATATATATATAGTGTTTGTACTCCTTTTAATGCATGCAAAAGAAGAAAAGGAAAGAAAATATATGTAAGAACAATATTCGAAAGGTGTTCTTATTTTCTGTTCTCTACTCTGTACTTACTCTGAACCGTCTAATTTCATAGTAAAAAGAGACTGAAAAGAGACGGAAGAATTACGTAAAAACAATAATCAAAACCTGTACTCACTCCGAGGCTTCCGCTTGTTCGGAAAAAAGAAAAGAAAAGAAAAGAAAAACGAAAACGAAAAAAAAAAAAATGTTCTAAAATGTACTTACGCTGTTTTTTTTTTTTTTGGTAGAAAAGATTAAAACGAGAGAGAGAGAGAAAAAAAGAGGAAAAAGTAAAGCGAACGGAAGGGGTGGACACTCTGAAGCCTCTACTTTCTCCGTGGAGAAAACGAGAGAGAGAGAGAGAAAAGAGAAAAACGAGAAACGAAAAAATAACGTTCAAAAGATGTACTTACTCTGGTTTCGTTTTTTTTTTCTTTTTTTTTTTTTGGTAAAAAAAATAAATAAATAAAAAAACGAGAGAGAAAAAAAGAGGAAAAAGTAAAGCGAACGGAAGGGGTGGCACTTTAGAGAAAACGAGCGAGAGAAAAAGAAGAAACAAAAACGAAAGTTGTACTCACTCCGAAGCCTCTATTTTCTCGGTGGAGAAAACGAGACGAAGAAAAAGAAAACGAAAAACGAAAAAAAATACTCACTCGGAAGCCACTACTTCCTCGATGGAGAAACCGAGAGAAAGAAATACAGAAGAACGACAAACGACAAAGTACCCCCTCCGAAGCCTCTGCTTTCCCGACGAAGAAAACGGGAGAGAGAGAAAAAGAAGAAACAAAAACGAAAGTTGTACTCACTCCGAAGCCTCTACTTTCTCGGTAGAGAAAACGAAAGAGAGAGAAAAAGAAGAAGAAATAAAAATACTCACTCTGAAGCCACTACTTCCTCGATAGAGAAACCGAGAGAAAGAAATACAGAAGAACGACAAACGACAGAGTACCCCCTCCGAAGCTTTCCCAACGAAGAAAACGGGAGAGAGAAGAAGAAGAAACAAAAACGACAGTTGGTTGTACTCACTCCGAAGCCTCTACTTTCTCGGTGGAGAAAACGGGAAAGAGAGAGAGAGAGAAGAAACAAAAACGAGTTGTACTCACTCCGAAGCCTCTACTTTCTCGGTGGAGAAAACGAAAGAGAGAGAAAAAGAAGAAGAAATAAAAATACTCACTCTGAAGCCACTACTTCCTCGATGGAAAACCCGAGAGAAAGAACAACAGAAGAACGACAAACGACAAAGTACCCCCTCCGAAGCTTTCCCAACAAAGAAAACGGGAGAGAGAAGAAGAAAACGGCAGTCGACCGGGTACTCACTCTGATGCCTCTACTTTTTCCGTGGCCGGCACTATCATGAGGACGCAGTTGGCTAAGATGGTGCAGATAATGAACAGGTTGAAGAGAGGATGAATGAGAATGAAAATGGCTGTCCGCCGAACAGGGTTGAAGGGACTCAGGATCCACATGGCGTCGGTGGCACTGAATCGAAAAATGTCCTTCCCTTTGCTTATGACCACCATCGTCTGCGAAAGGAAAGAGAGAGAGTAGAGATAAGTTCACGGAGTATTTTTGCAGTGTTCATTTTGTTGTTTTTGGGATTCGTGTGTGTTCTTGGGTGATAATTGTTATCCTCATCATCGTCATTATCGTCATCATCATCATCATCATCATCATCATCATCATCATCATCATCATCATCATTGTCATCATCATCATCATTGTCATCATCATGAATATTACTGTTATAATTTTAATAACACATTACTATATATTTATTATTATTACTGTTCTTATTATCATTATCAACATTGTTATTCATTATTATTATTATTGGGGGGGGGCTGGATTCTCCGATACTTAAGTGCAGGGGAATAACATAGTACAGAAAATATCTAGGGAAAAAACAATTATTCCCTTGCATTAATGACGGAAGGAAAATGCGCATTCATTATGGTTTAAGGGAAATATCGCGCATGGGTATTTCGTAGCAGCAGAAGGGAATAATTTTCGCGCTTTCATGCCATGTAGGGGAAAACAACAAATATTCCGTGGCGTATCTAGGGGAAAAATCACGAAGGGGAGGAGCTTGATGGGGAAATTCCATGTCCTCGTCAGTGCTGGGGTAAGGGACACGTGCATGGCCAGATCAGGGGCTTAATTAGGGAAAATCGGGATCTTAATGATGATGATAGACTGTCGTGGGTCTAAGTAAAGAGTATGTTTGTAAGTATGTATGTACCTGGATATATAAAGGGTATAAAAACACAGCGATATTGGTTAGTCATTGGAATGCGATATATTGATGTATGCACAGACACACATACACACACACACACACACACACACACGCACAAATGTTTATGCCATTTTCTAGAGCTACATTTGTATGAAAGATAATCATTACCGTAATTTTAGTGTCAATTGTAACTGTTAATTATCCATTATCTACTCTGATTGCCTCTCATTACATCTATGTACAGTCGTTATTGTATTTATGTCGCATGTTCATACATTTTCTATCTTTTTCCTTCTCAGCATTTTTTAACTTTCTTTTCTCCATCTCCCTCTTCGTTCACTTCTGTGTTAATTCCTCTTTACACATCTAAAACAGCTAATTAAGAGCATTAATTTTACAGTAACTCTTTTTTACTTTCCTTTAATTAGAAAATCATTATTTGTTCCCTACTTCTCTGTGTACATGTAACGGTTAACGCGTGAGTGTGTTGCTATTACGTGTACATTATATAACATAGCTTAGCGTACGTACTGCCGAAACAAGTACAAAAGTTATAGCAGGTGATTCCCTTATCAAGAATACATCATTGATACATTCCTGTCTCCTCACCCCGTACCGCCCTGTCACCTCACCTACCCCCGTGTACCGCCCTCTCCTCACCCCGTACCGCCCTGTCTCCTCACCCCTTACCGCCTGTCCTGTCTCCCCACCCGTACCGCCCTGTCTCCTCACCCCCGTACCGCCCTGTCTCCTCACCCCTTACCGCCTGTCTCCTCACACCCCGCCCTCCTCACCACCCCCCGCCCTGTCTCCTCACCGCCCCTGTCTCTCACCCCGTACACCGACACCCGTACCTAAACCCCGTACCCCCCGGTCTCCTCACCCCGTACCACCCCGTACCGCCCTGTCTCCTCACCCCGCACCGCCCTGTACCCCGTCCCGCCCTGTCTCCTCACCCCGTACCGCCCTGTCTCCTCACCCCGTACCGCCCTGTCACCTCACCCCGTACCGCCCTGTCACCTCACCCCGTACACCTTACACCGTACCGTCCTGACCCCGTACCGCCCTGTCTCCTCACCACACCCCGTAACATCACAGGAAAAGTACAGCAAACGCCTGTACCCACCCCCCCCCCTCCCCCCTCCCCCCCCCCCCCGGTACAGCTCGAGGTCCCAGGTACATGGCGTGAGGTCGA